GTCATCCTTGACTCCTTACTCTCTCTTACCTCATATACCCATATATGCCATCTCTCTCTCTCTCTCTCTCTCTCTCTCTCTCTCTCTCTCTCTCTCTCTCTCTCTCTCTCTCACACACACACACACATATGGTTATTAAGTATCTTAGCTCACATTTGAACTCGAGTCCTCCTGACTTCAGGCTTAGCACTCTATCCATTGCACCATCTGGCTGCCCCTTCCACAACACTTCTCACATAGATCTTTACTCCATTCAAACTTCCCATTCTAGCTCAAGCCCTCATCACTTTTTATCTGGACTATTGTGATAGCCTCCTCTTTTATCTCTCTGCCTAAAATCTTCTTCCACTTCTATGGACCGCTGAGGTGCCAAAGCAATTGTCTTAAAGCGCTGATCGGACACCTCCCAGGCCCTTACTCTGGTTCGCCCTAGAGGCTAAGGCCTTCCCTGCTCAAACTGCCTTGTACTCATCCTGCATATATTATGTACATACTAATGGGTATTACATATACTTATAGATACTGTTGCCTCCCTTATTAAAGTGTAAGCTTTGGAGGTCAGGGACTGTTTTGCTATTGCCTTTATATCCTTTGGAACTTAGGATGGTGTCTAGGACCTAGTAGATGCTTAATAAATGCTTGTTGATTCGGCTCAGTAATAGATTGATTGATTGGTCTAGAAACAAATTATCCTTAAGCTATGCTCTTGAGATTTCCCAGAGGCAATGTTGGGTGGATCTAAAACAAGCCAAAAAGAGAGTCATTTTGGTGGGCTACCCAGTCTTTTATAAACCCAGAGTCTCAGCCCTGGACCTTGGCTTATACATGTATTGTCCCAGGGTTATGGGTCTGGGGCTATGAATGAAGAGAATCAAGGTCCTTCCCCAAAGTGGAATGAAGCCTTTCCTATAATGAGACCTCAATACAAGCTTTATGGTAGGAGAATTAGATCACTAGGGAGGAGCAGAGTTGGGGGTTTGTAGAGCAGAGAGAAATTTTGAGGGAAGGTTTTGAATGGGATAGAGAATTAATAAGTTAAGTCAAATCAGCAACGTTTATTAAATGCCTACTCTGTGCCTAGCACTGTGCCAAGTTCTGGGGATACAGATAAAGCAAAAAACAGTCCCTGCTCCCAAGGAGCTTCCAGTCTAATGGAGGAGACAATGTGCAAACAATTACGTACCAAGAAGATATTATTGTTGTTCAGTGGTTTCAGTCGTGTCCGATTCTTCGTGATCCAACTGGAGGTTTTCTTGACAAAGATACTGGGGTGGTTTGCCATTTCCTTCTCCAGCTCATTTTACAGAGGAGGAAACGGAGGCAAACAAAGTTAAGTGACTTGCTCAGGGTCACACAGCTAGTAAATGTCTGAGGCCAGATATGAACTCATCTTCCTAACTACAAGTTCTGGGGTGGATACTCCATCACCTCATTGCCCCACAAATAACATATGGATGGGATAAATTGGGGGTAGTCTAAGAGGGACGGCACTAAGATTAAGTAGGACTGGGCCATGCTTTTTGCAGAAAGTGGGATAATGAAAGAAATACATGAATTATTGTCTGAGAGCCAACTCTAGTCTCTAAGAAATAAAAAATGAAGGTCAAACATTGCTGTTCAATGTCTATATCATTCTGAGTCTCTCAATCTCCGGGGAAAGCAATCACTAAATGTAAGAGATGAGATTGTATTTTGTTTCTCCTCATTCTCAGAACTCAACTCTGGCCTCTCTGAAGCTGTTGGGCGTAATGGAAAGAGGAATGGATTTGGAGTCAGAGAATCTAGGTTCCAGCCCTGATTCTACTGCTTTAGTACCTTTGTGATTCTAGGCAGTGAGTCAGCCCTCCTGGGCCTCAAGGCTTCTCATTTGAAAATTGAGGAGGTGGACTAGGAGATCACTTCCCCTTGCTTCTTTTCCCTCACAAAATAGACTTTTACTTCCAGCCTCTCCCTCCTCCTGTGAAACCAGCAGTCAAGAGCTTTCCAGCACATTTATCTGCCAATTTCCTCTTCACTATTAATAATTAGTCAGCCTGATGTTCTCTCTATCAGGTCCCCAGCTCGATGAGACACACAGGGCCATGGCAACAGATCGTGATGTCACCAGCACATCAGTTGTGATTCAATGCCTGGATTAGGTAGAGGGGACAGAGAGAAGAGAAAGCCACCTGCGGAGGTGGAAATGTGCTTACTCATTTTCTCCCTCTGACACAGATGGCTGCAGCACCTGGAGGTCAGTCACAAAAACTGAGAATCTGAAGGGACTTGAAGGCACCTTCCACCCTACATAGACTTCTGGGGGATCCCCTGGTACTTCTATAGTGTCTGCTGTGGTGGCAGAAATGACCAATGATTAGTGGCTTTGGCATCCAAAGATCTGGGTTCAGATTCCATTTCTACTACTTAATAGTTGCGTGACCTTGAGCAAATGATTTTGCTTCTCTGGGTCTCAGTTTTCTCCTCTGTAAAATGAGGAGTTGATGATCTCTAGGGGTCCTTGTGGGTCTAAATCCTATGACTGTGATGTTTGAAAAAAATGTTTTCAAATATTTTATTTTTTCTAATTATATGTAAAAACAATTTAAAAAAATAATATTTTCCCTCCAATTATATGTAAAATAATTTGTAAAATTAATTTTTAAAAATTTGAGTTCCAAATTCTCTCTCTCTCCCCCTCCTTGATGTGAAGGCAAGCACAGGTTATACATGTGCAGTCACATAAAACATTTTCATATTAGTCAATGACTGTGATCTTAACCTGCTAGAAGAAAATAAGCATTTAAGTGGCTACTATGTACCTGGACTTATGGTGAGTGCTTTACAAATATTATCTCATTTGATCCTCACAGTAAACCAGGGAGATAGATTCTATTTTTAGTCCTATTTTACATTTGGGGAAACTGAGGGACACTGAGGTTAAAGACTTGCCCAGGGTCACACAGCTAGGAAGTGTTTGAGGCTGAGTATGAACTCAGGTCTTGCTGACTCAGACCCAGTGCTCTATTCACTGCAACATTTAGTTGTTGTTGTTGTTAATCCTATCAATTGTGACCCCATTTGGAGGGAGTCTTTTTTGGTAAAGATACTGAAGTGGTTTGCCATTTCCTTCTCCAACTCATTTTACAGATGAGGAAACTGAGGTAAAAAGAGTTAAGTGACTTACCCAGGGTCACCCAGCTGCATCTGAGGCCAGATTTGAACTCATGAAGATGAATCTTCCTGACTCCAAGCCCAGCACTCTATGCACTGCACTACGTGGCTGCCCCACAATCTAGCTACCAGAACATAATAAAAGTTACAGACAAGGTCCCTTCCCTCCGGGAGCTGACATCCTGGTTGAGCAGCCAGAAGAGATGCTTGTAAGCCAAATAAAGAGCAACTGGGTGTTCCCACCCATGGGTGTCAGAGGAACATGTCTGGGTTTGAATTAGAATGAAAACTGTTGATTCTAGCAAACACATGACTGAACTGACGACTGCCTATTTCTCTTTCTTAAGGGACCTCTTAGTGACAGACACATTCTATAGAGTAAGTTGAGGTTTCCTTTATCAGCTCCCCTGTTTTCTAAGTGAGGTTTAAGTGAGGGGGACAGAAGGCAGACTCCAGGCCAGTTAATAGACCATTACTTGTAGTAGTCTAGTTACCTGAGTTGATGGATGACTCAACCCAGGGCTCTGGCCTCGCTAGTTAGTGTAGGGAAGGGAAAGTCTACCTGACTCAGGATGGGGGGAACATGGTTAGGAAGCAGTTGATGTGCGAATGACCCGAGGGTTTAGCTCAAAATGAGTCAGGCATGTGATGTGAGAGCCAAAAATAGCTAATTTGATTTGAGGCTCAATTAAGAGAAGTACGATGAATAGAAGAAGTGGTGTGGAGTAAATGGAGAATCGGTTTCATGGTTAGGAAGAGCTGGGTTGGAGTTCCCACTTTTGTCATGTGCTGACTGTTTGATCCTGGACAAGTCACAACCTCTCAGGGCTCCCAGGTGATTCTCTAAGACTCTTGTTGCAGAGAACTGATCTGAGTTGATAGAGGATGCTATTCATCAGGAGCTCCCAACACTGATGAAATAACAGTTCCAATTGCAGAGGAAAAAAGAAGAATGAACAAAACAAAGAACGTTAGAGCTCATAGGGAGCAAAGAACTAAACTTGGAAAGAAACTTTGAGGTCTTATCCACCTGCCTTATTTTATAGGTGAGATTGAGGTGTAGGGATTCAAACCTGGGTCCTCTGACTCCACATTCAATTAATTGTCTTTCCACTCTGTCATGCTGTCTCCTAAAAGGTCTGGCTTTCCCCAGCTGTAGTCCAGCAGTTAGTAGGTGCAATGGATAGAGTGTTGGATTTGGAGGCAGGAAAATCTGAGTTCCGATGTGACTCCAGATACTTCCTTACATGCTATGTGACCATAGGCAAGTCACTTAACTTATCTGTCTCAGTTTCTTCATCTATTAAATGGGGATAATAACATCCCCTACCTCTGAGGGTTGTTGTGAGGATAAAACGAAATATTTGTAAAGCACTTTGCAAGCCTTAAAGTACCACCAGATATGTTAACTATTAGTGATGCTAACCATAAGTAACAATAGTTATGCTAATTATCAGTTATGTTAATAATAGGCAGGCTAATTGTTAGTTGTGCTAATTATATTAACAATGGTTATGCTAATTTGTAGTTATGCTAACTATGGCTAACAATAGTTATGCTAATTATTATTAGTCATAGTCAGAAATCTCTGAAGACTAGACCACACCACCACTTATCTAGAAGTCAATGGTTTTCCAGGCCAAAGAGCAGTGTTTGGTAAAGGGTAAGGCCATAGTCCTGCTGACCTCTGCCCAGGCCAGATCACATTTGCAACTTTGGGTTAAGTTTTGTCCGCTGTGTTTTAGGAAGGACATTGATAAGCTGGAGTATATCAAGAAGGAAGCAATGACAATGGCGATAGAGACTGGATATGCCATGTTAGGAATGAATGAAGGATCTGGGATGCTTACCACTAACAGGAGAAGCAAATGTGCAGCAGAACTCCAAACATCTTCAAGTGTGGGAAAAGCCATCATCTAGAAAAAAAAAGTGGTTATTTGTAATGCTTCATCCTAGAGGTTCAAACTGGGATTAACTAATCAATCAACGAGCATTTATTAAACTACTATGTGCTAGGGGCAGCTAGGTGGCACAGTGGATAGAGTGCTGGACCTGGATTTAGGAGGAAGACTCATCTTCCTGAGTTCAAATCTGGCCTCAGGCACTTCCTAGCTGTGTAAACCCGGGCAAGTCACTTAATCCTATTTGCCTCAGTTTCCTCATGTGTAAAATGAGCTGGTGAAGGAAATGGCAAACCGCTCCAGTATCTCTGCCAAGAAAACCCCAAATAATATCACAAAGAGTTGGACATGACTGAAAAATGATTAAACAACAACAATTGCTACTATGTGCTAGGCACTGGGGAGACATAAAGACAAAGATACAGTCCCTGCTCTCAAAGAGCTTCCATTCTAATGAGACCAATGGATATAAGTTTTGACTCAACATGAAGAAGGATTCCACAATAATTCTAGCTGTCTCAAAATGGACTGAACTTCCTTGAGTGGTAATAAATTTCTTGTTACTGTGGTTATGTTTAAGGCAGAAACTGGATGATTGTTAGGGATATTATAAGTGGCATTAATGCTGTGGGGTAGAAGCTTACTTACTTTCCTCTGAGATTTCTTCTTACTCTCCAATTTTATAAGTTTATGAGGAGACCTAGAAGTCATAGTTTTTGAGGTCAAAAGTATTGGTCAGCAAAATCCTGCATATCTCTTATTTTCACCCCCAGTATTTTTGATTTCTTCATATCTACAATAGGACACATTGGCATAAAGTGTTATTTAATGCTTGGGTTAGGGGAGAGACTCAATCAGAGATACCATGATAGTTCTGAGTTAGGAGCAAATTGATTTATGTATTTCATATAGAAGTATGACTGACCCACTAAGGCTGGGAACATCTGGTTCCTTAGCCTGAAATCTTCAGCTTCTCACTGCCAAATTTCTTTCCCAGGTCACCTACTCTGCTTAGTCAAGACTATTCATGAGCCTAAACCTGGTCTTTCCACTGTGACTTCCCTATTATTGGACCCTTATAAGCCCTTACATTCTACCTAGTTCAATATGCTCATGTAAAACTAGGTTCCAAATTATTTTAGCTCCTGCCCAGTCTGGAGCCCCATAGGACTCCCAATAACAATTTTCCTACATCCAATGCTTGTTTGCAGCTCAGGTGTCTTTGGACTGAATTTATATCTGGAAACTAGGAAAAGAAACTTGCAGAGGTAGACCTTGTCTATAGTAATGGGAACCAGATACCATTCTCATTTTGTTGGATTGTGGATTGAGGACCCCTGGCAGGGCCAAATTATGCTCTTGGCATATCCCAACTACTTCACAAAACAAATAAGGGATCATATACTGGGGAGCCCAGCTGTCCTGGGATGTAGACAGAGGGGCTGAGCCCTTCTCGGTTCCCTATGGATGGAGCCTCCAGGGAGGCTGGCATGTGAAGATAAGGAATGATTAGATAGAGGAGTTCCCTTAACCCTGCCTTGCTCTTCTGGATAATTCACCCACTAGTACCCACTGTGGTTATCTCAGAATCAAGATGGCTAATCTCAAGATCACTATTATCAGCAGGTACTCTTATGCTTATCTACCTGTCTATGTACCTATCCATCCATCCATCTATCAATCTATCTATCCATCCATCTATCAATCTATCATCTACCTATTCATTCATCCATCCATCCATTCATCCATCTATCTACCCAGCTATCTACTTGCTTATTTTTTTTAAAGTTCACAAGATCATAGAAGTAGAGTTAAAAGGAAACTCAGTGGATATTTAGTCTACCCTCCTAATTTCACATTTGGGGAAAGAGATCCAGGAAGGTTAAGTGACTTATCCAAAGTTCCATAGGCAGTAAGTATCTGAAACAGAATTTGAACCTAGATTCTATGATTTCAGAATCAATGGTTCTTCCCCTGCTATTAATAATTGAAGTTTTTAGAGGCAGCTAAAAGTGGATAGAGCACTGGCCCTGAAGTTAGGAGGACCTGAGTTTAAATCCAGCCTCAGACCAAACACTTGTCACTTGCTAACTGTGTGACCCTGGGCAAGTCACTTAACCCCAATTGCCTAAAAAAAAAAATAGAAGTTTTATTGCTACTTTTTGGTTTTTACATCACAATTGTTTCTACCTATACTGCCTCCAAGTCTCTCATCCTGTGAGACTTTCCTTCCAACAAAGAAAAACAGCTAAGCAAAAACAAGTGACTCAAGTGGTATGAAAGAAAGTCGCAAGTTCCTATGCAATTTTATTTTTGTGTTATGATATATATGTATATGCAGTATGTATATAGACATGTATTTTTTGTGTGTGTTTAAGTTCTGTACAAGAAATGAAGCAAAAAGCAACTGATACAGCTACCACATCTGGCAGCATATGTAACATTCCATGCCCATGTCCCCCACTTTCCCAAGGAAAGGACATGGAGGTCTCTGATAATCCTTTTCAATATTCTTGCCCTTACTCCCTGGCTCCAGGAAGGAATGGGAGCATCTGAGTCTCACCAACTGGCTGGATGGCCGATTGGTGGCTTTCCCTATCTTAGTGGCTATTCTTACCTCCTGCAGCTGGGTTTGTGGTGGGAGGCATGGCCCATGGTGCTGAGCTCAGCACAGAAACATGGTGGCACCCTCTGAGCCACTTTACTTGGCAACAACTCCTTCTGTTTTTGTGGTGAACATGGTATGTGGTGGCTTCTTTGCTGAGCTGCTGGGTCTATGCTGGGAATTTGGGCCTGGAAGGAGGCTGCCACCAACCCCTACAAATGGATCGACATCTGTTAAGTATCTCTCCCAATACCTGGCTGAATGCCTACCAAAGCTACTGTCATCCAATTTGGAACTTCCTATGTGTCTAAGCTCTGACGCTGGCTCTGGCCCAAAGTGGGAAGTATATAAAGTTTGTCTTAGGTGCGCTTTCACTTCCTCTTTCTACTGCCCTTTTCCCACTCTCTATCTGCCCCTTCTATCTCCCCCTTCTTTTCCTTCTCCTCCCCTCTCCTCTACCTCCTTCTCTCTTAAACAGCACTGTGTTCTATTCTTATAAGTGTTGCCTAACCAGGGCAGAGGACAGCAGGACTCCCTCCTCTGTGTTTCTGGATATTGTCATTCTACTAATATAGTCTAAGGTCTCATTAGCTTTTTTGGCTGCCACAATACATCGCTGACTCATTTTGAACTTGCAGTCCATTAAAACTTGGCATTCTTGTAAATATATATTTATATGCATATATATATATGCATACACACACACACACACACACACACACATACATACACACATGCAATATTTTTTAGTTACCATGTACTTGTATAGGCTCTGGTAGGCAGTGAAGTCACTTAGTTCACCTATTCCTAAGGTCAACTCTGTACTGAGACAAGAACTCAATGAATAAGCAGAAGACCTACTTTCCTGGCCTTTTCTCTTGGTTCTTTTGTCTTATGGTGCTCTAGAATTGGGTCAGGCAGAATTTGGGTGGGTGGGGGGTAATGTGCATATATATTTGCAGCTATTTGAAGTAGGAAGGTTGGGAGGGTCATTTAGGGAGGGTGTGGAGTTTCATTTGGCATCTCTACCTGGGGATCTTTTTTTCTTTTGTTATTCTCTGCCTCCTTGACTCTCCCCCTTAAACCCGGGTGGCTGGCCTCTGGTCCTGTTGTTTGAGTGACTCAGGTTGCTGTCAGCACTTTCCTCATGGCTGTCCCCAAGCTGAGCTAAAGCCATCCAGTCAGGTGAAGGGAAGATAAACATTCTTGAGTGCATAGGAGAGTTCATGCAATGAGATGAGATGGTAGTTTAATGGACTTTTTATCTAGTACCTGCTGTGATTTCCCTCGTGGGGAAATATGACACAGAGATAAATAACCCCACCCTAGTGGCTTTCCTGGTGAGGACGACTTAATGATGCTTTGGAACAGAGAATGAGGAACACAGAAGCTGGGGCCCAGGACCAGGCATGCAGAGGGATAAATGTCTAGAACATATAGTCCTCTAGAATGTGGAATCTAGAACATATAATCATAGTCAACCAATCAATTATTTGTTGAGCACCTAACAAGAATTCTTGGAAGAGTTAAAGAAAGAGATGAAAACAACAACAACAGCAACAACAAAAGATTTATAAAACCAAATAAGAGTGGCAAAGGAAAAATGTGGAAGGAAATGAAAGTTATGCAAGAAAGCTCTGAAAAGAGAATTAACAGTTTTGCAAAAGAGATACAACTATTACTGAAGCAAATAACTCCTGAAAAGTTGGAATTGTCCAAATGGAAGCTAATGTCTCCAAGACACATCAAGAAATAATAAAACAAAGTCTGAAGATGGAAAAAATAGAAGAAAATGTGAAATATCTCATAAGAAAAGCAACTGACCTGGAAAATAGATTTCAGAGAGAACTTAAGAATTGTTGGACTACCTGAAATTCGTGACTAAAAAGAGAGTTGACATCATATTTCAAGAAAGTATAAAGGAAAATTGTCCAGATATCATAGAACTAGAAGGCGAAGAAGAAATTGAAAGAATTCACCAGTCATCTGAAAGAAGCCTCCAAATGAAAACTCTCAGGAATATTGTAGCCAAAATGCAGAGCTCCCACAACAAGGAAAAAATACTTCAAGCAGCCATGAAGAAAGAATCTAAATACCAAGGAGGCACAATCAGAATCACACAAGATTTAGAAGTTACCACTATAAAGAAACAGAGGACTTGAAATATGACATTCCAGAGGGCAAAGGAGCTAGGATTACAACCAAAAATAAGCTACTCAGCAAAACTGTATATAATCCTACTGGGGAAAATGGATATTTAATGAAATAGAGTACTTGTAAGCATTCCTGATGAAAAAGACCAGAATTGAATAGAAAATCTGATATTCAAACATAAGATTCAAGAGAAGCACAACAAGGTAAATATAAGGGAGAAATCATAAGGGCCTAAACTAGGATAAACTGTTTACATTCTTATAAGGGGAAAAGATACATGTAATCACTCAGAGTTCTGAGAGAGAGTCTAATTAGACTGAAGGCCTGGGTGTGATTCAATTATGTTGGGATTATCTCAAAAGAAGAATGGGAGGGTGGGGAATATGAATGCAAAATGCTTTTCTTATATTATCTCATTTTATCCTCACCGCTGTGGGTGGTAGGCATTATTATTACTCCCATTTTGTAGATATGGAAACTGAAAGGAAGACAGTTGCTCAAGGTGAGTTGCTCAAGGTCATACAGCTAGTAAGTGTCTGAGGGAAGACTTGAATTTAGGTCTTCCTGACTACAAGTCCAGCATTTTACTCACTATTTTACCTAACTGGTTCTGTGACCCTGACCATAGTCACACGGCTTTTAAGTGGTGGAAACTGGACCTGAAAACTGACTACAAATGTTTCAGTCACTATGTATCCTAACCTTCTTCTCCTCAGGGAGGTTGACTCTATCTAGTATTTCCCCTTCTTCCTCTAGAAAGCTGTGCTCCAACAGTTCACTTGGCCAAATGGTGGCCATCTTTTGGGATCACCTAGTTGAAACAGGTGCAATGCCATGTGCCTTTGCTACTGCCTCTCCAGATCTGGGTATGTGTACTTGGAGTACAGGAACTCAGAACTCCATCTGATTCTACCTTTTGGGCCAAGAGGTTATCATCTCTGTGACCAAGATGGCCCTTGTAGAGCACAGCCCTCTAGGGACCAAAGTCCCTATGCTCTCTGTTCTCTCTTTCCTATGAAAAGAAGTCTTACTATGCCTCAAGGCTCCCTTTTATAGCACCAACATGAAAGGATGGCTTCAGTTCACACAGCCAGACACAATCAAATGATTCCCATTCAATGCCTAGGCTAGCTCTGGACATATCAGACTTCTCAACAAGATTGTCAAGTAGGCATCCCCATACCCTTCCAAGGCTAACGATAGAAACTGGACCTGTGATTTCACTGGATTAGGGAATGCCCAGGTGAGAAAATTCTACCATTGCATATTATCATCTTCTCTTTAATTTTTCATCTTAGAGAATTTAGTATAGCACTGAGAAGTGACTTGCAATGAATCATACAACTCGTATGTGAGAGAGGTAAGACTTGAACCCAGGTCTTCTTGTTTCTGAGGTCAGCTTTTTTCCATGAAACCAGACTTCCTAGAAAGGGTAATATAATTAGTCTCACATAAACCCTTACCACTCCATCAGCTAGCTCATCCAGCTGATTTGGGGAAGTCCCCTGACTTTACAATAATAGAAAGAGTACTATTAGTGCCTGGGTATCAGGGGCCATGAGTTCAAATCCAGGCTCTTTTACTTGGTGACTATATGACATTGGCCAAGTTGTCTCCCCTCTTTTGGTCCTCAGTTTCCTCATCACTAAAATGAAGGGGTTAGAATATGTTTAAGTAAACAACTAGAAAAGGAAGTGGTGATCTCAGAGTCAGCTTGGCTTCATCAAGGATTGGTCATGCTGGACTAATCTTATTTCCTTTTCGAAAGTGATACTAAACCAGATCAGGGAGATGCCCTGTGTTAGGGCATATCTAGATTTTAGCAGAGTATTTGATAAAGCACTTCATGTTATTCTTAAGAAAAGTATAGAGAACCAGGATTCCAGGGGACTCAATGATGAAACATGCTATCTACCTCTTAATAGAGGTGATGGACTTGGAGTACATGTTCTTTTTTTTTTTTGGACATGGCCAAAAAGGGAATTTGACTATACATGTTTGTAAAAGGGGCTTTATTTTTCTTGCTTTCTCAAAGTGGGTGTGTAGAAGTAGAAAGGAAAAAAGGTGAAGCTTTGTGAAAATAAAAAATAATTTAAAAAAAGATAGAGAGTAGAGTGAAATGAACAGAGCCAGTAGTACAATTTATAGAATGATAACAATATTGTAGAGGCAAACAACTTTGAAAGACTTAGGAACTCTGATAAACCCAATGATCACCTGTGATTCCAGAGGATTCATGATGAAACAGGCTACCCATTTCCTAAGAGAGGTGGATTCAGAGCCCAGAGGTGGATTTCTACAGACATACATACATGTATGTATGTATGTATGTATATGTGTGTGTGTGTATAAGTTTGTATGTATAGGTGTTTATGTGTATCTTTGACATGGCCATTGAGGAGATTTGTTTTACTTGACTATACATGTTTATAACAAAGGGTTTGTTCTTCTTGCTTTCTCTCTCTCTCTCTCTCTCTCTCTCTCTCTCTCTCTCTCTCTCTCTCTCTCTCTTTTAGGCATTTGGGGTTAAGTGACTCGCCCAGGGTCACACAGCTAGCGTCAAGTGTTTGGTCTGAGGTCAGATTTGAACTCAGGTCCTCCTGACTTCAGGGCCGGTGCTCTATCCACTGTGCCACCTAGCTGCCCCTCTTCTTGCTTTCTCAATAGAAGCAGGGGGTAGCAGGTAGGAGAAGGAAAAAGTGGATCCTGTTTTGGAAAAAAAATGTCCTTTAAAAGAAAAGATGGAGAGATGTGGCTAGGAAATAGTACAATCAGATGGATTCAGAACTGATTGAATGGTTGGACTCAAAGAATGGTTTGAAGTAAACTTGGCAGGAGGTCTCCAGTGGAGAATCCCAGGGATCCATGCTTGGCTCTGTACCAGTTAGCATTTTTATCACTGACTTGGATAATGGCATAGATGGCACATTTATCAGATTTTTGAACAGGAGAGATAGTCAGCACATAAGATAAGTCAGGATCTAAAAATTTCTTGATAGGTTAGGCAACTGAAATTAATCTAAAAAGATGAAATCTAATAGGAACAAATGGTAAGCCTTATGCTATTGTTAAAATATGCTAAAAAAAATTCCCTTCACAACTATAGGATGGGAGAATCCTGAGTATACAGTAGTTTTTCTGAAAAAAAGAAAAGAATCTGTAGATCTAAATGAACTGAGAATTCAATATGAATCAATAAGTTCAAAAAGCTAATATGATCTTGGACTGCTTTGAGAGATGGACTTCAGGACAAAGGAAGTGATAGCTTCTCTGTCATCTGTCTTGGTCAGACTGCAGCTGGAGCAGTTCTGGGTACCCCTGTTTAGGAAGGACATAGATAAACTAAGGAGCATCCAGAGGAGAGTAGCCAGGATGATGAAGGGCCTCAAGTCAATGTCATATGAAGATGAATTGAAGGAACTGGGAATATTCAGCCTGGAGAAGAGAAGGCTCAGCAGGGAAACAATACAAATCTTTTAGAACTTGAAAGGCTGTCTTGCTGAAAAGGTATTAAACTTGTTCTGCTTGGCCCTAGAGACAAATTTAAGCTTGATATATGGAAAAACTCCCGGATAATTAGAGCTATTTATACAATAACAATATAGTAAAGGCAAGAAACTTTGAAAGACTTGGGAACTTTGATCAACGTAACGACCAGCCATGGTTCCAGAGGACTCATGATGAAACCCACTTTCTTCTAGAGGAGTGAATGGTTGGATTAGAGCTGCTGAGATTCCTCTCAACTCCCAGATTCCGTGGTTTCAGTCTTAAGGCTATAACCTAGGAAAGACTTTGTGCCCATCTTCCCCCACCCACCAATGGGGCCCCGAACAAAAGTTATGGTGAAATCTGGCAGCCTCAAACCTCTACGACAGGGGTTCTTAGCCTTTTTTGTGTGTATCATGGATACCTTTGGTAGTTTGTTAAATTCTATGGGCCTCTTTTCAGAATAATGTCTTGAAATTAATAAAATAAAATATGTAAGATTACAAAGGAAACCAATTATATTAAAATAGCTATGTGTGTGTGTATGTGTGTGTATTATCTATCTATCTATCTATCTATCTATCTATCTATCTATCTATCTATCTATCTATCTATCTATCTATCTATATTTAAAGCTTATGGATAGTAGATTAAGAACCCCTGTTCTAGGAGTTTGATCACTGGGTATAAAAAGTCTATCAAGATTGGAGAGCATGGCAAACGTTGGGAATTCTCAGAAGTGGGCAGGGAGGGGAAGTCCTTAATTCTATGTAGTCTGCATACAGCAGAGTACATACCTGTCAACTTCTCCTCTTTCAATGTCGTCTAAGGCTGGTGTCTCCTGGAAACAAGCTTTCTCCTCTGACTTTCCTGGGCACTGATGGCCATTTGTAGCAATGGCAGAACTGTTGGAAGTCCCTCTCTGCCAGATTCCTGCTGTCTGTCAGTACCCAGCCACTTAGGTTCAGGGCAAGTGAGAAAGGCAAGTCAGCAGATGGGTGAGTTATTTTTAGCAGCCTGCATGGGATAATATATGACAGCCAGCATGGTGTTCAGGGCCATGAACCTGCATATATAGATACCATATGGGTCCAAATATAGACTTCACTTCTCCCCGTTTCCATCTGGTTTATACAAAACCTGAATGCCACCTATAATTGGGATATTAGCAAAAGAATGACAGTGAAAAGGACAAGGACAAAGAGCAGTGATGAAGATAGTTCATAAAACATTTTTAAAGCAAATAAAGATTGAAAATATTTTTCTTAGTAAATACAGATATTTTAATATGACAATTTTATGGGATAGTTTTTTCTATGACTATATTTGAAAGAAAATATATCCAGAATATACCTTTGAAAAGATATATAATATATATCCATGCTTATATATGTATGTATGTATGTATACACACATATAAATATACGCACACATATTCCTTTCAAACATTCAAGTATTTATTAAGCACTTACTATATGCCAGGAACTGTACTAGGCACTGAGAATACAGTAAAAGGTAAAAAATATTGTCTCTGCTCTCAAGGAGCTTACATTCTAATGGGAGAGACGATGTACAAATAACTATGTACTGTACCTACAAGATATGTATATAGTGTAAATAGGAAGTAATATGAGAGGAGAGGCAGGAGGTGCCAAAGCATGTCATGGAAGCCAGGAGATAGAAGTGAGGAAGGAGTGCATAGCAGGCATGGCGAATGGCCAGTGAAAAGGCACAGAATGTGGAGGGCAATAAAGTGTACGAAGACAAAGAATATAGGAGGGGGCCAGATTGTTAAAGACTTTGAATGCCAAAAAGAGCATTTTATGTTTGACCCTGGAGGTAATAGGAAACCACTGGAATTTACTGAGTAAGGGAATGACAGTATCATATCTGTACTTTATTTTTTGAAATAATATTTTATTTTTCCCAACTACATGTAAAAATTATTTTTTAACATTTGTTGGCTTTTTTGGTTAAATTTTCAGTTCCAGATTCTATCCCTCCCTCCCTCCCCTCCCTTAGATGGTAAGCAACCTGATATAGGTTATACATGTGCAAACATGTAAAACATTTCCATATTAGTCATTTTGTGTAGGAAAATCCAAAAAGAAAGAAGGAAAGGAGAAAGGAAGGAAGGAAAAAAGAAAAGAAGGAAGGAAAAAAATAGCATGCTTCAGTCTGTATTCAGACCAACATCAGTTCTTTCTCTGGAGGCAGTTAACATTTTTAATCATGAGTCCTTTGGGATTATCTTGGATCATTGTATTACTGAGAATAGCTAAGTCATTCACAATTCTTCATTGAATAATATTGCTGTTACTGTGTATAATGTTCTCCTGGTTCTGCTCACTTCATGTTCTACCAGTTCATGTAAGTCTTTCTAGGTTTTTCTGAAATCATCCTGCTTGTCATTTCTTATAGCACAATAACATTCCATCACAATCATATTCCACAACTTGTTTAGCCATTCCCCAATTGATGGGCATCCCCTCAATTTCCAATTCTTAGCCACCATGAAAAGAGCTGCTATAAATGTTTTTGTATGAATTGGTTCTCTGCCCTGCACCTCCCTGCCCTTTTTAAAAAATCTCTTTGGGATACCAACCCAGAATTGGTATTGCTGGATCAAAGGGTATACACAGTTTGATTGCTCTTTGGGCATAGTTCCAAATTACTCTCTAGAAGGGTTGGATCAGTTTACAACTCTACCAACAGTGCACTGGTGTCCCAGTTTTCCCACATCCCCTTCAAAATTTATTATTTTCCTTTTTTGTCATATTATCCAAGATTATGGGTATGAAGTGCCCTCACTTCAAAGGTTGTTTTAATTTGCATTTCTCTAATCAATAGTAATTTAGAGCATTTTTCTATATGACTATAGGTAGCTTTGATTTCTTCTTATGAAAACCACCTGTTGATATCCTTTGACCATTTAGCAATTAGGGAATGCCTTGTATTCTTATAAATTTGACTCAGTTTTCTATATATTTGAGAAATGAGGCCTTTATCAGAGATACTTGCTGTGAATTTTTCTTCCAGTTTTCTGCTTTCCTTCTAATTTTGGTTGCATTAGCTTTGTTTGTGAAAAAAAAAACTTTTAAATTTTATATAATCAAATTATTCATATTACAACTTGTAATGCTCTCTGTATCATATTTGGTCTTAAATTCTTCCCTTATCCGTAGATATGACAGGTAAACTATTCCATGTTCTCCTAATTTGCTTATGGTATCACCCTTTATGTCTAAATCATATTCCCATTTTGACCTTATCTTGGTATATGGTATGAGATGTTGGTCTATACTTAGATTCTGACATACTGTTTTCCAGTTTTCCCAGCAGTTTTTCTCAAATAATGAGTTTTTGTCCCAGAAGCTTGGATCTTTGGATTTATCAAACACTAAATCACTACGGTCATTTACTGCAATGTCATATCTGTACTTCAGAAAAATAACTTTGGCATCTGGGTGGGGTGTGGATTAGAGTAAGGATAGGCTTGAGGCAGGGAGATCAGCCATCAAGCAATTTTAATAGTTCAGGTGAGAGGCAATGAGGGTCTGTACCAGGGCAGAAAAAATGTAAGAAGACAAAGGTTAGAGGCTATGTGAGTAGAGAGAAGGTGGTATATTTAAGTGATGTTGTGAAGGTAAAAGGTCAAGATTTGGACAACAGATTGAATATGTGGGGTAAGAGTGAGGAATTGAGGATGACACTGAGGTTGTAGGACTGGGTGACTGGGAGAATGGTGGTGTCCTTGACAGTAAGAGAAAAGTTGGGATGAGGGAAGGGTTTGGAAGGAAAGATAATGAGTTATGTTTTGACATATTGAGCTTTTAAGATGTCTATAGGACATCCAGTTTGAGGTATCCAAAAGTCCATTGGTGATATGAGACTGTAGCTTGGGAAAAAGATTAGGGCTGAATTGTTGATATAAATATCAGGTATATCTAGTCTTAATTTGAGATTTTGATTTCATAGGTCTGGGTACTCTGGCAATTAGGTGTTGTATTGGAATGGAGTGCTGGATTTTGAGTGAGAAAGACCTGAATTCAAATCCTGTCTTAGCCACTTATTTGCTGTGTGACCCTGGGTTACTTGACCTCTCCCAACCTCAATTTCTTCATTTATAAAATGGGGATAATAGTAGCAGCTACTCATAGGATCGTTGTAAAGGTCAAATGAGATAACATATATAAAGTATTTTGCAAACCTTAAAGCATCATTTGAATGTTAGCTATCATTATCAACATCATTCCTTCTACCAGAGCAGGCTGTGCCCTCTATACCTTCTTGGTCTATGCTATTCTTCCATATATTGAGGTTCAAGCTAACGTGATGGAAGTCTTCCTGTCGTTTTTTTTTCTTCAACATTTGGGGGACAGAGGTGGGGAGAAAGTTCCAATAGAGTGCTTATGTTGTCCATTTGCTGCTTCTAATTTTCTATGATTCCTTAATACCACATGACTGTCCCATCTCCTTTTTCAGCCCCAGAAAAGATGATGTCTTTTGGAAGTATTGCCAATAAGGACTTGTATGAAAGAATATGCTGTAGCTTACTTATATCCATCATACATCTTCCCATTGATTCGTGTAACCAGTGAGCCTACCATGTCTCAAGGGACTGGTCAAAGTGGGCATACAGAATTGATCTTCTTATTCCCAAGAAAAGTCAGAAAGCTAGTAGCAGCCTTTGGTTTGAAGGCCTTCTGATTCATGGAGAGTGGGATTTGGGTTATCCCAGTAAATAATTAATCCCTAGGTAGGCAAGTCCAGGAACCCAGAGCTGGATATAGAGAAACTTAGCTATAATCTGAGTCTCAAAGCCCATTGGTATTGGACTCATTGGTGGAGATCAATGCTCTGCACCCACCTACAGGATGAGGTGGAGTTGGCAAGAGTGGAAGAGAGGAGAGCATCAGACTCTTCAAGTCTTTTCAAGCTCTTAGGACTCTGCAGTTGCTTTGGGCATTTCTGGCTTCCAACTTCCAGAGAGAGAAGATGAATGAGGTCAAGCCCATTTCAGGTTGCTGAAGGAAAGGATGCTGAAAGGAGCTGGCATCTATCATGTCTTTATCCCCAACTTGCTACCCTAGAGACTTTGGGGAATTTTCCCTTTGGGTGAGATAAGAGACTTTCTTGGTTGAGCTGAGTTAGCTCACTCCAAATGGGAGAGCTCCTTCACTTCGTATTATCTGGTATATATTAATGTATACATATGTGTGTGTGTATACATGCACATACACATGCACTTTAACACACACAAATATATTACGTATGTGCTTTCTCTGACTTTTGTTATTGACTTGGATGAATGGGTTTCTTTGCTACCTATTGTGTGTGTTCATTGTAGAACTGGTATTTTGTGGGAAGGGAGTGAAGCCTTGGACATAAAGCTTGGGGTCCTGCTTCCCCATTAAAAAAAAGTGATCAGAAATTTAGCTGAATCCAAAAACTGTATCTCCTAGATTAATAATATTTAAGGGAGCTGATAGATATAATTCTAGTCTGGTACTCTCTCTCTGAGGAAAACAGAGTTGCCAAATTTCTGGACTCAACCTCCTGCTTCCCCTCCTGGCAATAAGTAAAATCTCCCTTGGAGAGGACAGGAGTGGGGGTGGGGGGAGAGAAGGTACTAGAGATGTCTATTCTGAGATACGCAATGATACCTCCACACTACGTGTAGTGTATATAGCCCTTGCTACATATGTTACCTGGTAGCCAACATTCTGGTAATGAGCTTCTCCAAAGTTAGCAAGACTTTATCCTCAGACAATGCATGGAGTTCGTGACTCACTCTTTACTCACAGCTTTTCTACCAGGATCCCTGCCAGAGTATGTGCTCTACAAGTATAACTTTCTAGAGCCCAAGGTCACTCCCACACCATGATGTGACACTGGAGGAGGG